AAAAAGAAAAAAAAAAAAAAAAAAATAAATTATCAGGCCATAAACTAGCCTATTTATTGTCACAACAAATACCAATATGTATCTTACCTCTCCTGGTGAGGTGGGGGACTCTCACAGAGTATTTCCTAAATTGGGTGCCTCCATCGGTATCTTTGTTCTTATCTAACCCATGTTTCCATTCCACGTCTCTGAGTAGGACTAATCATGCATTCTACCAGCTACATGTTTTTCTTTGTCTGTTTTCCTCATGTACATAGGTTTCGTCCCATTCAACCCATCTATTAAACCATTTTCCTTTCTGCATGCATTATAATATGATGTAAATAAGTATAACAATTTTTCTCTTCTTTAGGGGGAAATAAATTAAACAGATATTTGGAGGGTGACATAATTATACTTTGTTGAGAAATATTTACATTACAGGATCTATATTTTTATCTCAGTGGTCTGAGTTTTATACTAACAGCTGGAGTTTCTTTGCACTTCTTCTTATTCTTCCTTTTATCTCCCCGCTTTTCTCTGCGAATAGTAAACACAACGATCTGAATAATAATCACTGTATGATAAGAGATAAATAGTATATAGAGATAGAAATAGTAGAAGGTGATTCGAAGGTACTGCAAATCGATCATAAAACTCTACCTTAAGTCTCCAAATAAAGCCCAATATCATGACCCAAATTTAACTAAGTCATGATAGAACCTAACCTAACCCGCTGGGTGAATCAATCAACACCAACACAAGTCAGATCGAAGAAAATCTTTTAGTAAATGATAAAGTAAAAATGCGGAATTAAATAAAAACTGCTCCAAGAATTATTGTCATAAAACATGAGCAAGTAAGAGTAGATTCATAATCCTGATACAAAAAAAAATACACCATATGCTTGAGTATATATAAACAGAAATATATATGAAGTGACTTCTATCTCGATTAATCATATCTCATGCATGTATGCGCAACGATCTGACCGGTCGTTTTGAGCTTTTGAATTTTGTTATGTACTTTTAAGGTTGTGAATAGCTTCATATGATGCATTATGAGTTGTGTGTATGGTTGGTTTTAACTTTTGAGAGGTTCTTGAAAGATTTAGAAGAGTAATTCTCAATTTGGAAGCTTTAAGTTGGAAGAGTTGACCAAGGTTCAACAATAAATGACCTCAAATTGGTGATTTCATGATTCCAATAAGGTTGCATGGCTAATTTGGACTTGGGCCTTTGTTCGGATTTGAATATGGATGTTTCTAGATTGTTTTAGCTCTATTTGTCGAAAGCTAGCAATTTCAAAAAATTGGAGAGTTCATAGGTTTGACTGAAAATTGAGTTCGGTGTTATCTGACCTTTACTATGGTTTTTGATACCTTTGTTAGGTTCATTTAGTTGATTGGAACTAACTTTCATAGTTTTGTTGTGGTCCAGAGTGTCTAAATCTGATTCGGACAAGTTCGGCGAAATTGAAATGTTTGAAAGTTAAAAGAATATTTTCGATCTATAATTCTTGGTTTTGAAGTTATTTGTAGTACTTTGAGACTTTGCATAAGTTTGAATAATGTATTTACATTGTTGGTATAATTGGACGCGAGGCTCTTGTGTGATTCTCGGTTGTTTCAGACAATTTTGGTCGAGTTTGGAGTTGATGATGTGCTGGTGTGTTGCACTGGGTCGCCATCGCGGAGCAAGGCTCACGATTGAGGAGAAGGATTTTGGCCGCTTGGAATTGGTGTATCGTGTTCGCAGGAACGAGCTCACGTTCGTGGAGTATTGGGGGTGCTGGCTATCGCTTTCGCTTATGTGGCTTCGCGTTCACGAAGTGTTGGAGGAGGTCGAGCTGCAGACTTTCGCATTCGTGTTCGATCCCTCGCGTTCGCGGAGTAGTGAGGCCATTTGGCCATCACGTTTGCATGTTCTAGGTCGCATTTGCGGTGAAGGTTCTGGAGGCAGCGCTGGATTGCTCATCGCGATCACATGGGTTTGACCGTGGTCGTGTAGAGTATTTGATGTCACTGATTTGAGCTGTCAAATTTTGGGATTTTGAGGGGTTTTCACTATTTTGAGTTTTGGAGCTCGGAAGAGACGATTTTGGGGATGGATTTTACCCATATCTTGAGGGTAAGTTGTCACGCCCTGACCTTGGGGAGCACGATCGACACTTGATAGGGTTACCTCGGCCAAGAAAGCCTACACAATGTCGTCTACCCAACTCACCCATGAATAAAGAGGAAAATACATTTCATTAATTAGATAGTAAGAGGTCATATGAATAACACCAGTCCATTTTCCTTAGTTACATCCTTAACAAGTCTCCAAAATAGTACATTATATGTTCGTAGTTAAAGTGGAGCAGATGGTACAATTACAAAAAGTTTAGTTTAACCTTCCCAAAAAGGATATAACCTACACTATGTCTACAAAGCCGCTAATAGAACCAAAAGAGTGCTAAGACAGTGCCGGCAATAAGGCCTCGACTATACCTCAAAGGTCTATGTACAAAGGACAAGAGATAAAGGACCCCGAAGTGAAGTGGGGCTTACCAAGTCAGCTGAAGATAGAGTATGCTACTATCACGGGTCAACACCACCTGCTATGGAATCACCTGTATCCATTTAAAGATGCAACGCCCCCAACAAAAGGAACGTTAGTACATATAGAATAGTACTAGTATGTATGAATAAACACCCTCTCAATAGAACGAGTAACAACAAATGGAGAAGGAAACATAAAATCAATAAGAGACTCAAATAGTATCAGGGTGTCAAGTTAAGGCAAGGTAAATATCAAATTAAGTTTCAATTTTTTAAGTTGGGAGATCCTTAACACCAATACATCGCCGTGTTTTTAGCACGGAGTTCGATCTCAGGCCGATCGGCTAAGCCGTCTCACCTCGAGACATCCACTCACAATACCACCATGTGCGCAGCATGGCGTCCCATCTCGGCCCGATCGTCTAAGTCGTTTCACCATAATATCATCCCATATAAGGGGAAACAACCTCATCATATTAACATGGAGATTTACTCATCAATCACTCCTACGCCGGCATGTGTAGTTTCAGGATTAGGTTATTTTAACCTACCATTCCTCAGTGACTTGAACGATACTCCCAAAGCATTTATTGTTTAAAGGAATTTACCATACATTTCACGTTCTTTTACATATCATTCATTTCATTGGCACCAATGGCCATGACATAATATCATTCTTGGCATATTGGCCGCACATCATATTTCATGCTCTCTTCTTTCACTTTCAAATATCATCATGGATAATAAACAACAAGGTTTTCAAATTAAGACTTTAAACACACATTTGAGCAATTTAGCGTCTTAGGAACATGTGATTTCTTACACAATTTGACATGATAGCTTTCATTAGAATACATATTGAATCACGATAGCTCTCAAACAGTAACTCAACATTACAATAACCTTTGAAATACACATTGAACGCATATTCATTTTGACACAAGGCTTATTTGGAAAAAATTAATTTATGAAGAGCAATACGGGACTTACAAGGACACTATGGGGTTCAATTCTAGGAGATGAGTTTGGCCAACATACCTCGCTTTGTGCTCTCCTTAATTTACTACACAGTTCTAGAATCTTAACAACTTTGATCTATTTAGAGATTTAGCAAAATTGAACACAAATTAGGAAAGAATTCATGGTTCCAGCTCATTTGAGAATTTTATCAAACATTAGGTTGTCATTATGACTTCAAGGTCCTCCTATGATGGATTCCTCTACTTCACTAACCAAAATCTACCCAATTGAGCACACAATATTCCCACAATCCTAGGTAGTACATGCATGCAGAACAAACAACTCCCACACCCAAGAATGGCTTGGCTTATTACCTATTTTTAGTTAAATCTCGAAGTTGAAGGCTAGGGAGTAGAATCTTACCTTTGGGTTGAAGACCTTGTGAGTTACCCTAGAGAAATCTTCAATGTTTGAGCAAAGATTGATGAATAAATGACTTAGACATTTCGTTTCTCACTCTAGACCACCTTCCCCTCTCTAAAATATAAGTTTCATCCTTCTAAATGATCCCTAAGTTTGTTTTATTAGAATGGGGTCGAGTTTATAAAACTAGAAAAATGAAGCCTCGTTGCAGATTTGCGGTAGCATATGCTGCCACATAACTCTTATGCGGTCTGGAAAATGGACCGCATAATAGGCTTCTGGAATAGGGCATTTCTGCTTCACTTTGTGACCGGTCTGTGGTCGCATACTGTGCCGTAGGACATCCGTCTAGAAATATTTATGTTGGAACCACAATGAATTGTGCGGCCCACAAAATAATTATGTGGCCGGATATTGGTCCTAAATTTTAGCTTAGGTTTCTGCTTCACTGTGCGGCAGGTCTACGGTATGCAAATTAGTTCTGTGACTGCAGAATGGACCGCAGAAATGCCCTACACTTTTAAAAAAAATTTCATCTCACAAACCACTGTTTAACCTAAAAAGTCCACACATCTCTACAATCATTAATACATAAGTCCACCTCGGCACCACAAAATCCCGAGTTTTGGTAAAATTTTACGGGGCCTTACATAAGTAATTTTTATTTTATTTTGATTATGTATCATGAATCCCCACGGATTTCTACACCTAAAACATGAAATTTTAAAGGAAAATTTGTGGTTTTTGTCTATACTTTAAGAGAGTGTATTTTGGGAATTTGAATTTTTATTTGGACTCGGTTTTGGAAACTAGTTATATATTTGCACTCGGTAGGTTATGAGACATCAGATTTTTGTATTAGTTTCGAATTTCAGGCAAGCGAGCCTAGGTTGACTTCTATTGAGTTTCGGGAATTCTTTAAAGATCGAAGATTTATGGTTTGAGATTGCTTCCTATAACATTGTTTGACTTCTTGGATGATGTTTTTCTTGCATGTCATGATTGGAGGACCAGATCGATGTTTTTGACGCGATCTTAATG